TGGCGGTAAAGGTGGCATAGTACGACCGAACCAGTAGCGACTACTGGTTCTCGTAATAATCTTTTAACACTTACCAAGCCCGGCCGAAATTTTCTTCCGTGGTTGGCAGGCTTCTCACTAATAACTCTGCTTGTCCTTTCAAAGTCGTTTTTAGATAATGAAGACGAGTAACGTCGGAAAGAGAAGAATCCCTGGCGATGAGAGACACGAATAAGTCCCGGAAGGGTGGCCAGTCTTCGTACTTTCCGGAGAAGCTCGGCAACTGCATTCGAGGCAGGGTGGTACAAGGGGGAGGAGCAGAGGGCTCCGAAGCCCCCGATTTCTTCTCCTCCTTAGCGGCTGCTAGCGTCTCTCTGAGTTCCAGGAGAGCGGCCTTCTACGACACGTACAATTCCTCGGTTTGACCTAGAAAGTCTTTTACATAATACTCGTGTTCTTTCAACTGCTCCCAATGCTTAGCCGTTCATGATTCTCCTCCACCTTTTCCCACTTGCTGTCGAGCATCTTAAGCGTGGTGGACACTAGTGAGCTCGTGATTTTTTAGACTCCGGACTGTTTTAAGTTTTCTGTGGTGCGACTTATTCGCCCGAATAGCTCCTGTTGAGCGGCAATAATAGCTTCCATTATTCCCTTTCCAGGTTACCGCCCTAAAAATCCTATGCGGAACAGCGTGGATGTCAGATAAATCCGGCTCGAAGGATCATTAAATGTTCATGCGCGCACGAGGACCTCGGGGCAGGAAACTTGGATTTCAGTTGCGCTTGATTTTTTTAATAAAGTTCGCTTTGCTTCTTTTAACATCCACAATTTATTCACACTATTTACAACCATATATACACTGTACACCGGTTCAGTTTCCCGAACCGGACTCCCCCCGTGGAAGCTAGCAACTTTGCGAAGGGAGTTGAAGCTTCGATTGGAGTTAGCGACTCCGGATTCCGCAAGCGACGGAATAACGCCGATTAGACCGGCTTGAATCTCCGTAAGCGACGGAATAGTTATCGAACAGACTCTAACGTGGATACTCGAGTTTCTTTTCTCCTTTTCGCGAGCGGCGAGGTACAAATACGCGATAGTTATCGAGAATTCCGAACGCAAGTGTGCTCGAGCCGCCCCTGCGACTCGTATTTATACCTGGCGGGTTCTAGAACGTTCTCTTCGCTCACGTAGCTTCCGGTAAGGGAATTCCGTCGCTCTCGAGAACGTTCCAGAAGCCGCGTCGCATGGGTTTTTGAGCAACTCGACTTTTTACTTCGTCATTCTAAATGCTCGTTTAAATACAATTTAGGCTCGCTCTCATTGGTCGTCGGTGACAGTGGTAGCCACAACGATTGGTAATGGCGCGCGGGAGAGCCGAGCTGCGCAGCGCTTCGCTCTCTTGTCGCTCTGGCGACACTTAAAGTACGCGCGAATTTTGATCGCGAACGCGCGATGAGCGGGATGCGATTCGTGTCCTGCCCTCATCTGTGGCACCTGCCCGGCGCAGGTTTGTTGAGCTTCAAACAGTAATAATTTTTCGTTTTAAACTTAACACACACATAATTTCCTTTATATGTTATATACGTACCCCTATTAAGCTGGACCCCCCACCATCGCAAATTAAGTTCGGACCTAGTCAAAAATTTAGTACTATTTTGTTGCTAATTAGTTGCTTTAGTCCGAATTTTTCTGCTCTAGCCGTTTAGCAGAAAATCGCGTAAAAAATGGGGGAAGCTAGCTTAACGGCAAGCTGAATTCCCAACTACCAGACAAAAATATATAGAGTAGTCCTATCAAAAAAACCCAATACACCAGATTTTGTTGCTTTTTTGTTGCTCTAAGATAGTGCTAAAACATTTACAAAAAATAACATTGTTTAAGAAATACCATTATGTGCACTCAGCACTGCATCGCCGTATTCGAACACTGACACCAACAGAATTTGTTGCTTGCATAAATTTGGTATAAAAATAATCTGCAAGCATCGTACTATTGAAATATAACAATTTCCAATTTTGTTGCTAACTATAACGTGTTAAAATTAAATAGTTTATCCGGGCCAACCACACCTCGCGCTCTAAGTTCCCTTGCTCGATCTTTCTTGTTACTTACATGAATTCGGTATATAAATAATCTGCAAGCATTGTACTTTCAAAATAAATCGATTTCCGATTTTTTTGCTAACTAATATGTTAAAATGAGCAACAAATTCTGGAAGGATCGGGCAAGGGAACTTAGAGCGCGCGGCGCGGTCGGCCGGGATAAACTATTTA